TGCCTCGGCCTCCCAAAGTGCAGGGATTACAGGCATGAGCCACCGCGCCCGGCCCATATCTTAAATTTTCACCACCCTGGGTGAGGAGGGGAGTGTTACTTCCTTTTACAGGACAGGAAATCAAGCCTCAGAAAGAGATAATCATCTGCCTAAGGTCTCTCAGCCAAGAGGTGGCAGACGTGGGACTCGGGAATGCAGGCCTCCCTCTTTCTCTTTCCTCCATCCCCCCAGGTTGGAACCAGAGAGGGGTGTACTAATAAAGAAGAGGAAGGGCTTCTTGGGTTGGGGGAGTGTTCCAGCCTGAAGGCTTGGGCTCCTGCCACGTGTACCCTGGATCTTCCCTGCTGCTGGGCCTGAGGCCCAGTGGTGCTCATCCTCACTAAGCATCAGGAGACCTAGCTTCTGGGCCCAGCCTGGCCTCAGCTGCCCCTGCGAGGTCACAGCCAAGTCATGCAACTCCAATTCCTAATGGCATTCTGCCCCGCCCTCAGGCAGCAAACTCCACAGCTCTGGCTTGATCAGGGGAGTCTCATTTGAGGGCATAGCTGCCCTAGAGGTGATGGGGCCTCTCCTGAGGTCATCAATGCCTTGAGTTGCTGGTCTTCACCCAGCTTAAATCTCCCGGTGCCCTAAGCTAGTGGTTTTCAAAGCATGTCTCTGGACCAGCAGCAGCAGCACCTGGAGGTATGTTAGGTAGGCACCTTCTCCAGCACCACCTCAGACCTGCAGAACCAGAAACTCTGGGAGTAAGCTGAGGGACACTCAAGTCTGAGGACCCTTACCCTAGGCCAGCGCTCCCACCAGCCCTCAGGTGGAGCTTGGGTTGAGCAAGGGCTTCTGGGAGATAGGAGTTTCTCTGAGGTTCCTTTGGTGCAGGAAGGCATCATCCTGGGAGAAGCACAAGAAGAGGTGGCCTGATTGGAGGGTAGGGCCCTATCCCCACCGCCTGCCCAAGCCCAGCAGTCACAGCAGCACTTCACGATCATGTGCACTTTTGCAGGGGGCCACAGAGGGAGATTCTCAGCTTTCCAGGGACTAGCACCCAAGACTCCTCATCTGTAAACACAGGAGATAATGATCTCATGGGTGGAGGTGAGCACTCGAAAGTATGGTGCATCATAGGTGCTCAGAGATGGGAGATGGTGTCATTTTCTTCCCCAGTGCTTCTCAGAGCCCTTTTGCTGCCCTTCTCACTGTTATTCATGAAGCTCTCATAAGGTTGGCTGGGATTGTCATGCTCACTTAGTGGTCTGGGATTGTCATGCTCACTTATTGGTCTGGGATTGTCATACCCACTTGGTGGTGAATGAGGTTGAGGTCCAGAGAGGTTCTGTGACCTGCCCAAAGACACACAGAACAATGTCAAAGCTAAGTCTGGAATCCAGATGTCCAGATTCCTCCAGCTCTTCTGGAAGCCTCATCCCACTCCTGTCCTGGGCAATGGTTGAGGGGGCCATCCCGAGGCATCAGCACTCAAGCAGCTTCTCAGAGTCATTCCTATAAACAGAGTCCTAGAATCTCAGATGTGGAAGGAACCTTGGAAGTAAACTAGTTCACCCACCCTCTCTGCATACAGACTGAGCAACTGAGACCTAGAGAGGGAAAATGGTTGACCAGGTCTCCTTCATCCAGCCCCTGACTCCTGACCAAGTAGTCTTCCCACTGGCCCAAACCACTCTGGCCATCACTTTTGTCCTTGCTTTCCTCTCACTTTGGGGCACTCACTACCCCAACTCCTTGCCAAATACCTAGCACATCCCTGGACAGCATCAGTCCTCAGCAAATGTTTATTGAATTAAGGACTTACTGAGTTAATTAATTAATTGCCTGCTCTGACCCCAGGTGAAGGGCACTGGAGAGGCGCTGTGGGCTGGATTCTGATCTGGATAACTCACTGTGGATCTCTTGGTCTCCGTCACTCTGACTCTTGGCATCTCTGCTTTGTTTTCATTGTTTTTCTGTTTTGTTTTTGGTTGGAATCTTCTCTCTCCCTTCTCTTGCTCTGTCCCGTCCCTGTGTCTCTGACTGAATCTCCCTCTTTCTCCCACTGTCTTCCTCCCTGATTTATGTGCTGACAGTGGCCACCCAGGCAAGGGAGTATCCCAAGGCAGAGCCGCCTGTATAGAAGCTGAGGGCTTCACTTTATGCGAGGCAGGCCGGGGTGGAGTGATCTCCACAGCTGAGCTGCCCCCTGAGTGCATTGAACAAGCAACTCTGGGCCCAGAATAGATAGCTTCTTTATTGCTTATCAAATAATGCTTGCTTTATTCCTTCTCTCAACAAGCCAGGATTGATCTCCACTTGTCAGTGGGCAGGGAAGGGGAAGGAATGAGGAGGCTCTCGGAGACGGAGATGGGGGTGGGGTGACCCCGCCGGTGCTGTACACCTGGTGTTCTTGCCCTGATGGATGGTGGAGACCCAGGGGCGACAGTCACCGGCCAGCTGCAAGGACTGGTCCAGGATGCTTTAGAAAGCCCACACAGGGTCTTCCTTGTGATCACCCACATCATTTCCTCTCTGAGGGTGTGTGGGCTGCTCAGCTCTTTGTGGAATGCACTTGCTGGAGGCCCTCAGCCCCTCTGAAATGGCCCTCTCTTAAACTAAGGAAGATTCATCCCTGATCACCAGGGCTGCCCCCAGAGCAGCTGCTGTGTTTGGGAGACAGGGGTGAGTGAATGGATGGTGTGCAGGGCTGGAAAGCAGTTCCCTCTCCCCCAGGACACTGAAAAAGCTCTGTCCAGCCTGATCTGATTTGGGCCTCCACAGGGCAAACCAGCCTGTGACCTCCAGGCCGATCACCGTCCTGCAGGCTCTCCCCTGTCCGGTATGCTCACCAGCCAGGGGTTCTACAGGGACGGGACAGAGACACACACACCTGGCTGATGCAGGGACCCACCTGGCCCCTCTCATCTCCTCTCCCCTTTCCTGGTCAGGTGGTGAGCCAGATCGATAAGCTAACTTCGGACTTCGACTTTGAACTGGAGCCGGACGACTGGACCACGGCCACTGTGAGCAGCACCTCTAGCAGTGACAAGGCGGGCGTGGGCGGCCCCTTTGACCTGGGCCACCTGGACTTCATGACAGCCGATATCCTCTCAGACAGCTGGGAGTTCTGCTCCTTCCTGGACGTCTCTACCCCCTCGGACTCCGTGGACGGTCCTGAGTCGACTCGGCCAGGGGCTGGCCCTGACTACCGCCTCATGAATGGTGGCACGCCCATCCCCAATGGGCCACGAGTGGAGACCCCAGACTCCTCCAGCGAGGAGGCCTTCGGTGCTGGCCCCGCAGTGAAGAGCCAGCTGCCCCAGCGGACCCCAGGGACGCGGGAGAGGGTGCGATTCAGTGACAAAGTGCTCTACCACGCTCTGTGCTGTGACGATGAGGAGGGGGATGGCGAGCAGGAGGCGGAGGAGGAGGAGGTGGGCTTGCCCCCGGAGCCTGCCCATACAGAGGCCCACACAGGCCTCCACAAGCCCTCCCCAGCCCCCTACAAGTCACGGCGCTCTCCAATGACCAGCCGCCGCTCAGGCTCTACCTTGGCCCCTGAACAGACTCGAAGGGTCACGAGGAACAGCAGCACCCAGACAGTGTCAGACAAGAGCACACAGACAGTGCTGCCTTACACAGCCACTAGACAGAAAGCCAGGGGGAAAAACTAGGGGCTGGGGAGGGGGCCAGGGCGGTGGGCACATAGAGCTATAAATATATATATATATATATATATTTAAACAAATGAAGTCATAATAAAATTTAAAAATGCTAAGGATCCGGCCCCACAGGCCCCAAAGCTTTCACAGAGCTCCTCTTAGACATGAAGATGCCCACTGGCCTCCTAGGTTCCAGGAGGTGTGGGCAGGACTGCCCTTCCTCCCTTCTCATTGCGGGGCTCCTGAAGGGGGTGTCTGAAAGTATGTAAATCTTATGGGAGGTCTGATCCTCCTCTTGCTAGCCCCTGAACTCTGTGGTGAAGTCTGGCTGCTGGCCAGGGCCATGTCCTAGAGAGGACTCCCCTGCAGGAGGCGGGCTGTAAAGGGAGTGGTGTCCCTTTAGGCCAGGGTTCACAGTCAGGGTGGTTTGAAGACTGCAGGACTCAGGGTCTGGGGGTGGCATCACTCTGGCCAGGCCCTGCATCACTTGCACCCGCCATCTTTCTACTCCAAGGCAGACTGACTCTGCGATACATAGCCCTGCCTCACCCTCTTCCATCTTAGGGTTGTCTGGGACATAGGGGCATGGCAAGCTGCTCCCATGGCACAGTCCTCCGTGCTGGGATGCTGGGCATCCACAGAGCCTGGAGGATCGCCTGGGCTGGGCAGGGGTTTGATTGGAGGGTCTGGACCATCCTCAGTCCTTTCAGCTTTGATTTTCAGCCTGGTCCTGAGACCAAGAGCAAAACCTCAGGGCAAAGCCTCAGCCAGCCCTGGTGTGGCCCTAAGCAGACGTGAGATCTGTGCGAGGAAGTAGGCAGCCACTTCCGTGGGGCTACAAATTAGAGCCATAGACAGGCTCCTGGCCACCTTCACCAGGTGGGCAGCCTCGGAAAGGAGCCCAGTGGCCCCCACTCTGTCCCCACATCTCCACACCCAGCCCCTGAGCCCACCTCAGCAGGTCCTGAACAAAGACAAGGTGACAGCCTAGAGGCACCAGGGCTTCATCTGAAGCATGGTCGGCACAGGGACAGCAGCTGAATATCCTTGGGATAATAATCACAATTATATTGCTCACATTTATTGAGCAGGTCTCTATGCTACTTCTATGCCCAATACTTTTTATAGCATCATCTCATTTAATCACCACAATAACCTGACAAGACAGGAACTATTATTAACCCCATTTTTCTTTTTCTTTCTTTTTTTTTTTTTTTCTTTTTTTCTTTGAGATGGAGTCTCGCTCTGTCACCCAGGCTGGAATACAGTGGGGCGATCTTGGCTCACTGCAACCTCCACCTCCCAGGTTCAAGCAATTCTATCACTTCAGCCTCCAGAGTAACTGGGACCACAGGCGTGTGTCACCACGCCTGTCTAATTTTTGTATTTTTAGTAGAGATGGGTTTCACCATGTTGGCCAGGCTGGTCTCGAACTCCTGACCTCAAGTGATCCATCAGCCTCAGCCTCCCGAAGTCCTGGGATTACAGGCGTGAGCCACCATGCCCCTGCCTGTCCCCGTTTTACAAATGAGATGACAGATTCAAAGCAGTTCGGTACCTGCCCCAAAGCCACAAAGCCTGTGCTACTCTGCCCCCAAGACTTAGTGGTTTCCAGGCTGTTCCTGGCTCAGCTAGCTAGCTGTGTGACCTTGGGCAAGTCCATTTGCCTCTCTGAGCCTATCTACCTCCCCTGTATAATGGGTCTGGTAGTCTTCACCTACCTCACCAGCTGCTGTGGGGCTCCAACAAGATGGTGACTGTGAAAGCACTTGACAAACTGAAGGCACTGGACATGGCTTGTGGTCAGTGTGGCCTCAACCCAGAAGTCCAGTGATTTCCAGGGCACAGGGGCTTTGAGTGGGGCCAAAGAAGACACCCTCATCCAACTGGGAGCCACCCCTGGGTCACAAACACTCCATTGCTTGGTCATTGCTTGGTCCCTCGCAGTAGCTCAAGGTCAGAAGATGACTGCCCCTTGCTCAGAGCGGGGAGGTGGGGCTGGCAGCACAGCAAGGACATCATTGTCCTCCCTGTTGCACATTTCAATTGAGGCAGGTTTACAGCCCCTCAGCGTCTATCCGGAGGGGGCCTGAGCAGCAGGCCTGGCAGCATCCACTGCTCCTGCCTGAGGAGGTGCTATCCAGCCCTGGCCGTGGACATACAGTGAGATTGTACAGCCAAGTCTGGAGCAGTTGCAGGGGATATGATCTGGACAAGACTGAGCAGACCTAGGGAGCTCTACAGTGTAGGGCTTGTTCCTCAAGCTCATGGTGAGATCAGAGCCCTAAAGAGTTAGCCAGGGTGCAGCCACCAGTGTGGAAATCCAGGGATGGTGCAGGCCATGGCCAGCTCTTCCCAACTCAGGTCTGAGAACCAGGGGTCTGAGCCCCTCTATCAGCCCCAGGAAACCCTCAGGCATTTGGTGCTGATCAGCGATAGGGCTCTGGTTCAGAGGATGAGGGCCAGGGGCTCCTCTGGGGAGAGGGGCCAGCTGCATTCTGCCCCACCCTGAGAGTGAGGAGGGGGCAGTCTCCAGGAACGGGCCCACCTGGTGCTGAGGATGGACATAACAGTTCTCCCTCTGAGGCTTGCATTTCATCTCTCATGGCAAGATCACTTTCAGGCTTACAGTTTCTCATCTTTGCAACAGTCAGGGAAAAGAAACCTACAAAATAGCTCCCATTTCACAGAGGAAGAAACTGAGAGCCAGAGCTAGGGATCTCTGATATAGCCATGGGATCCCCCACCCCACGCTGGCTCTATATGACTCTGTGGTCGTGGCTAATGTCCATCAGTCGCCCCCTGCTCCCCTCCCTGGCTGTTTGCCCCCAAATGGGGCAGTGGTGGGAGTATGTCCTGGAGGAGGGGGAAGTGGGATACAGGTAGTACTTGGCTGACTTCACAATTTTGCCACACTCAGTCTGGGCCTCCTGACAGTGGCGTGGGATCCCTATGGCTTCCCTGTTTGTTTGTTTTTTTAGATGGAGTCTCGCTCTATTACCCAGGCTGGAGTGCAGTGGTGCAATTTCCGCTTACTGCAACTTCTGCCTCCCAAGTGAGTCTCCTGTCTCAGCCTCCTGAGTAGCTTGGACTACAGGCACGCACCACCACTCCCAGCTATTAATTTTTGTATTTTTAGTAGAGACGGAGTTTCACCATGTTGGTTAGGATGGTCTTGATCTCTTGACCTCATGATCTGCCCACCTCAGCCTCCCAAAGTGCTGGGATTACAGGTGTGAGCCACCACACCCAGCCAATTTTTTTTTTTTTTTTTTTTTTTTTTTTTTTTTGAGATGGAGTCTTGCTCCGTCTCCCAAGCTGGAGTGCAATGATGCGATCTCACCTCACCGCAACCTCCGCCTCCTGGGTTCAGTGATTCTCCTACCTCAGCCTCCTGAGTAGCTGGGATTACAGGCACCCGCCATTATCCCCAGGTAATTTTTGTATTTTCGTAGAGATGGGGTTTCACCATGTTGGCCGCCTGGTCTTGAACTCCTGACCTCAGGTCATCCGCCTGCCTTGGCCTCCCAAATTGCTGGGATTACAGGCGTGAGCCACTGTGCCTGGCCTTGTATTTTTTTAGTAGAGACATAGTTTCATCATGTTTGCCAGGCTGGTCTCAAGCTCCCGTCCTCAGGTGATCCTCCCGACTTAGCCTCCTAAAGTGCTGGGATTACAGGCGTGAGCCACTGCACCCGGCCCCGGTGGCTTCTTCCGACTTGAAACACAAAATGTGGCCAGCTAGGGATAGAGAGAATTCTGACTTTCAACATCGCTGAGCCATGGCATGGGCTGCTTCTGGGTAGTGAGCTCCCTATCCTTAGGGTAGACACAGCCATCCCTTGGGTCCTTCCTCCAGACCTTCCAGGTACAGCCCTTTGCTGCTCTTCCCTGCCTGCAAACCTTTGCCAGTTTCTGGGTTTCTTTATCCAGGATGTTCCATCAGATCTCTCTGCTTCCGGAAAGTCCTGTTCCACTGACCATCTACTGTGTGCACAGGCTGTGCTGAGTGGTGCTTTGGAGGGGTGGGAGGGAGCTGGAACCTGGTGATGGAGAGGAGTCATAGCATGATGAATAACTCAAGTCCACTGGGCACGTGCTAGGCACTGGGCATTGTTCTAAGTGCATGTCTTATCTCATTTATTCCTCACAGCACGTATGAGATAAGCAATGTTACTTATGTCTAAGTAGCTTCCAGATGACGAAATCGAGGCTCTGGGAAGTGAAGCAACTTGCCTAAGGAAACACACAGGATGGGCTATGGAACCAGGATTCGACCCCAAACGCAGTGACTTAGCACTCAAACATCTACTGCAGTTAAAATGCCTAGAGTGGGTGGCCTGGTCACTGGAGGTGAGGGTGGGGGCTGGGTAGTCTGAGAGCCAGGCAGGCCTTCGGGGTGAGGGGAGTGTTGGGGTGAGGAAACATGTGAACATGCCTCAGTCTTTGGAGAACTTGGTTACTGTTAACCTGAATGTCACCACCCCTAACTCAAAGACTGGCACCAAATGGATTATGGGTTCAATAAATGTTTGTTGAATGAATAAATGAGCCCCATTTGTAGAGGGGTATCCACTGTGCATTCATTCAATCAGCTTTTATTGCAGACCTCCTGTGTGCCAGGTCTCATGGTGCTTGCACACACAGATACACACAACTCCCCTGTGAGGGTCTGGTCTGGTGTGTCTTGGGGCTGGGGAAAGTCAAAACTGAAGGGTGTGGGGTTTCGGCACTAAGGGAGCCATAGCTCTGCTGGGTCTAGCCTGGGATGCCAGAGAAAGGAACCAGAAGTGGGAGGCATGTCAGCTTGGTGAGGCGACCACTCTGGGAGATGTCCTGGGAAGGGTGGGGGTCTCCAAGCTGACACTCCATTAACAGGGTGGGCACATTGCCATGTCCTTGGTGTCTAAGAATGAGGAGGCATCACTGTCTGTATTTTATAGATGAGGGACAGATGATGTCGTCCCCAGAAATGGTCTAATGGGATCAAGGGACAGAAAGGAGGGCAAACTATTCAGAGACCCCAGCACTATCCCCTGTCCTTAATGAGGCCTTGTCAACAAGAAGGGAAAATAGGGTGTAGCGGGGCTGGGAATTCCAGAGGCAACAGGACCAGCCCTCCACCCACCCTGTCCACTGCTGACTTCCCTTTCTCTGTTCCAGCCCCTCCCACACCCACCCATCTCCCATTCCACAGCTGAGACTAGTATAAGAAAACTGATGTTTATTGACAACCTAGTATATGTCAGGTACCATGCTACATCTTTTAACAAACACTGAATGACAGATTTAGTTGTACCTAGAACAGAATATGTTGCTCAATAATTATTTATTGAGTAAATGAAATAACCACAATCTTTATTTTGCAGGTCAGGGGAGGAAACTGATGAACAAATAAGGAATTCGTTCTAAGTTACACAGTCAGAAATTGGCTGATCTGGGGACTGACATTGCCATCATTATTTACACTATATATAAGTGCTACAATTTATAGAATACATACTATGTGATTGTTAGGCACTTTACATAGTGCTCACCAGGGTTTGGGCCCTGACTTCAACTCCGCTTTAGGCCAGACTTTCAGAACCACCCCCTAGTTTCTGGCGGGTCTGGGGCACTGACTGGGTGACTAGCAGAAAAACAGCTCCAAGCCCAAAGCATCCTTCCCCCTTTCCATTTCTCTGACAGAGCCAAGACTAGCCTGCCCTAAGCCCAGTGAATGTCCCGGCCCTTTCTGGTCTAGGCTGATCTGACAATGGGTGGGGCTGGAGTATCTAGAAAAGGCTTCTGGGGGCCGAGCGCGGTGGCTCACGCCTGTAATCCCAGCACTTTGGGAGGCTGAGGCAGGTGGATCACGAGGTTAAGAGATGGAGACCATCCTGGCCAATATGGTGAAACCCTGTCTCTACTAAAAATACAAAAAATTAGCCGGGTGTTGTGGTGGGAGCCTGTAATCCCAGCTACTCGGGAGGCTGAAGCAAGAGAATCACCTGAACTCAGGAGGCGGAGGTTGCAGTGAGCCGAGATTGTGCCACTGCGCTCCAGCCTGGCAACAGAGCAAGACTCCGTCTTAAAAAAAAAAAAAAAAAAGGAAAAGGCTTCTGGAAGGAGGGTGAATTTAGCATGGAACTTCACTTGGAATGGAATAGAGCTGGGTCACCTCGATGTGGGAATGAAGGACACGAGGAGCTGGGGGAACCATATAGGAGACGGTGGAGAGAGCCCTCATTGAAGTAGAGGTGCACGTTGGTGCAAAATGGAAAAGATAAGAGCACCTTCTGCAAGGGAGTTTTGAGTTCCCAGAGCCCCACTCAGAGCCACTCCGTCCTCTTAACTGTGGGGGAGGAAGCCAGGGTGTCCTGATACTGGGAGAAAAGCCTTATGATAGCTCAGCAACAGTTATTCAGTAGACCATCACGATGGGGACCCACTCTCATGAATAGATAAGAAGAGCATACAATTAGCACATTGGTAAGTATCACAGATATGCTAAGTCCTTGAAGGTAATTGGATCTTGCAAGTGGGTTAAACGTCCCTCCTGCAATGCATTTGCAGTACCCTTTTCTTTCTCCCACAGGGCAGAGGGGTGGGATGCTGGAGCTGCCTCTTCCTGTAACATGTTAAACGGGAGCTAGCTGAAATTCTGATGCAACCTGACTCTTCCATTGGTCTGCCGTGAACCCCTACTAAAGGGGCAAGCACAGCTGCCATCACCACCTGCCCACCCCCACCTTACCTGTACCAGTCATGCCAGCCTAGGGGACCAAAGGGTCTTGGCGGGTGACCTCAGGCTGATGCTATCCAGGACCCAGGCACTGTGCTGATCAGACCTGACTCCCTGCCAGGAACACTCAAGCTCACACACCTGCCTGAGGCTCTTGGCTCTCAGTTCCTGCTCAGGCTGCTCTCTATTATGCTGGGACGTGTAAAGTCAGGCGCTTTCCACTGTGGACAACAAATCTGATGGTGCAGACCCACCCTGGTGTCCTCTCCTCCCCCACCGTCTTAGAAGAGCCACAGAAACCCAGTCTCCAGGCACCACCCGACCTGTCCTCCACCCCCAAAGAAAGCAGGATGGGGTGGGGGTTGCAGGTGTCACCACAAGGCACAACCTGTGGAGCAGCGGTGGAAAGAACCCAAAAGGGGCCCTGATCTTTGTGGGGTTCCTGGATGCACCATGGCCAGTGGTGGGGCCTTCCCAGGAGACCCCAGTAAGATGGACAATTTTTCCTTAAATGGCTGAGTGTGAGCAGCTTCCCAAAGGAGGTAGTGATGGCTGAGCCCACCTGGTGAGGTGGGGAAGGAGAAGGAGGTTCACTAAGAGGTAGTGACCCGGGAGTGTGGGGAGGGGACAGAACCCTGATGCCTACCCATAGGCAACAATCTCGGCACCATCTCTCCCTTTTGCCCTCCAGACACGACCATTCCCTTAGGGACAGTACTGGGAGGAGGCTTATTTGCCCCTGAGACCCAGCGGGAGGGTGGAGGGTTAAATACAGAAAACCACCCAGTGAGAGCAGATGAGGCCCAGGTGTGATGAGCTCTTCCTCCGGCCTGCATGGGGTGAGGATGGTTAGGGTAAACCTGTGATCCCAAAGGCACCAAGGGGAGCACCAGCAGGTCCCTGGGATATGGGCTGGGAGCAGGAGGCAGGAGCCCCACTTGGCAAGGAGATAGCTCTAGGACATGTTCCCAGGGATGCTCAGTCTGACACCACTTTAATGAGTGGCACATTCTACCATGTCCTGGTACCTGAGAAAGAGCTGCCAGCCCCTCTCAAGACAGACTTCACTCCAATGCCTAGTGTAGACAAGAAGAGAAACTTTTTCAGGGTGGTGCCCCAGACATGGAGTTCAGTCTTGCCAGTCACATATGGGCCTCCCAAAGGGTTCCAGTCTTTCTTAAGGGAAACCATTTCCTCTGGCTTCCTAAAATAATATGGTTCCTTGTGCTTGGGCTGCAGGCTGGGAGACGTGTCAGGGAAGCTGCAGATGGTCCTCCTGCCCTGGGTGGGTGGGGACGTCCTGAGAACTTCTATAGCCCAGAGAACACCCTTTTTCAGGTTAAGCTAACCCTGCTCACCCTTCAATTCCCTGAGTATTTCTCCTTGTCTCATCCACAGGTTGCAGACTGGTGGCCTGCACACCTGTTTTGCTTCCTACATTTTTTTAAAAAAAGAATTTTACGTAAAATTCCAGATTTCAGATTTCTTGGAAAAAAATCAGTAGCTGTGACAACACTGGGATGGCATTTCCACACAGAACCAGTCAGCAGGAACTGAGCATCAGGGCCCTTCTGGGGTGGAACAGGCACTCACCAGTGTCCCCACACTGGCCCAGGGACTCTCATTTATTCACACTGGCACCTGCAGGGGTATGAGGCTGACTCCTGCCAATTCAGCCTACCCCAAACTCATCTTTCACCATGGCATCTCTTCCTTTCTGCCCTGCCGTGTCTTAAGTGTACCTCTGACCCACCCTCATCCCTGCACTAAGGTTTATTTTCCTCCATACAGCTGTCTCCTCCAGTTGATTGCAAGCCCCTTGAGGGCAGGAACAATGCTTCCATAAGATTCTCAGTGAATGTACATTGAATAAACACACCTCTTGCCTTTGCTTAGCCCACCCTTGTTCAGGGGGCTTAACTCCCTCTCCAGATTCAGAGTTGGGGGGTCAAGACTCCCAAAGGCTTCCTGAAAGGGAGGAAGTTTCATTCTGGGTCATGGGGCAGTGAAGGTAGGCGCAGGCCACTTTGCCTGACCCTCTGGTTCTTTGAGGCAGTCAGCCTCTGCTGGACTTTCCAAAGCACCCACCCAGTTTTGTTTGGTGTTTTTGTTTGTTTGTTTGCTTGTTTTTGGTTTTTGTTTTGTTTTGTTGCTTTGTTTGTTTTTTAATTCAGAGCATCATTGCAGGGCTGAGGGATGATTTCATGCTTTTTAATAAGGGAATCTTCAAATCAAATAGCCCTTGTTGCCATTCTATCAATCCACGGTAGTGCCAGTCACAGGGATAACTCTTTCACCAAACAATTGCCATCGTTCAAGTACTGGATGGGACATAGCAAGATGTCAGTAAGTAAATTTTTCTTAATTAAGTGTCTTTGTCCCATAGGCTTGCGTATTCTGAAGGCCCGGTGGCGTTCCCGACAAGCAAGGTCTAGCTAAACGCATCAGCATCAGATTCCCCGGTTCCCCTACTACTGCTGGCCTTGGGAGGCTGTCCCAGAAGCCCTCCAATGTACCCTTCAAACAAGCTCTCTTCCCTTTGCCCCTCTGCCCCTGCCCCATCCCTATCAGAACGTCCTTCCCTAGGGAGTATTGAGGGCACCTGCCAGGGCCACTGCACAACTCCAGGGACACCACTCACATTGTCACCTATGTAAATGGCCCCCTCAGTACAACTACCCTGAAGACACCACAGCAGTGTGCCCTGGAGGTGGGCAGCATGGTGATTATCACACCTCCACAGGGCCACAAGGACCCATGGCCCTGACACCAAGCTGAGACTGCTGGGACTTCTGGACCATGTTCAGAGCCTCAGACCTCATGCTTCTGAGCTCCAGCTGCCCAGGATACCCTCAC